TAATTCCTTGAGAAACATGTACACATACACTCATAAAAATTAGTTACATTCCATAATTGGCAGGTCTCAGTTCCATGATATATATTCTATAAATGACGAGAAGCATCCTGAGAAAAGCACTTGATGTGTAAGTTTTTTTTTTTTTTTTTACCTCACCACATGCCTTCATGGTGTAATCAGAAGCATGTCTGGCTGGCAGTCAAGAGGTTCAAATTCCAAGTCCTGGCATAGGCATTGCATATGTTTCATGTTTCCTGTATTTAGAAACTTAATAGACTATAGATGTAAATGAAATTCAATATGCAAGTACTTCAGAACCGAATATGGTGCAAATTATTAAAAAATCTACGCCAATGACTAAAAGCATCCTGAAATAATACATAAGGAAATGGAGAAAAAGTAAATCAGACATGGTACAGCAAAGGCATATACCTAAACATAAAGGTCATTGAAACAGCTGCTTGATTACCTGAACTCCAACACACTGTAAAACTGATTTGAACATATTGAGTACATAGATAATGTTGACAGAAACTATACATTGAGCTGGTAAAAGTTGAGGACAGCCACAATAATGAAAGGAAATCATGTTAGTGCTTGAGAAAACTGCACAAAAAACCCTAATCACATCATTTTCCATCATGAGTGGCCATATGACACCTTGTATGGGAATAAAAAATTCCCATACAAGGATGGGATTAATCATTTCAATCATTATGCTACTATACTGCATTCCATGCTACTTTGTGACCTAATAATGAGTAGCAATAATTTAAATCACTGGCCGTAGTTGTACTTGATCCACTCAATGCAGAAAAGTGCCCAACTAATCATACAGTATTCAGTACTGACACCAATTAGTTCTGGACAAAGGTCAAGGGTATGAATCTGGAAACAAGACAGCCAATGGATCACATCTGTCATAATTGTGGAATATTTTCCACATTTTCCAGGGTAAGAATAAATATGTGGGAAGCATTATGCTATATTAGACAGACAACCTTAAAAGTTCTCTATACCATCCTCTTGTCATCACAGTACATTGATGACATTCTCTGGGAAGCTGTGGAACCATTCTTTTTACTATATTCTCAAATCATATTTCAGACAATGTTCAGTCAACACTTGGCATAGCTCACCCAAAGCTACCTTTATAATATACACAACCATCCACACCAACAGGCACTCATCACAATGCTCATCACAGAATGCAAACGAGTTAGTAAACAAACCAAATGGACTACCTGATACTATCTTTGGACACTATTTGTGGACTATGTACATTCAATTCATGCCAAGACAGCAATAATAGCATTGTGATGCCTACTAACTTTTGTAGCTATTTAATATAAATAAATTAGCCTGGGAAAGTAATGACTTAATTTCTTTTGTATATAGCAGTTTTTTTTTTTTTTTTTTTTTTTTTTTTTTTTGTATATGCATGTTGTATATAGCAGTTTCTTTCGTATATGCATGTTGTATATAGCAGTTTTCGTCATATTTGGATAATTCTTTCAAAGTATTTCTCCTTGAGAGCCATAAACAGTGTCAAAAAATTATATGCATTGAAAATAAAAAAGCTAAAGAAAACTTAAAATTTTCTAAACTAAAAATAGCTCAAAATTGATAAAATTTTGGAGAAAACTACAGCAATTTATGTATTTTTCATTTGAAGAAACTGCTTATTGATGGCTATTTTTTTTATTCTGTTTATCATTATAAACATTGTAGATTTCTTCCAACTAATTTAGCATTTCCTTTTTCTGTTTCTTGGACATTTGCCATAGTGCTCTAGTGCAGGGGTTGTTGCTGTGTGATCCTGGTTATCAACTCACAGAACTTTTATTTAATAGAACCAATTATTATAGGTGAATTATCTTTCCGAAGTTTTTCTAACAATATTTGCCAATATATGAGCCAAGTGAAGGTAAACGTTATACAGTACAAAGTCCATAATCCGGTCTCATCGGGACTTTGGCGATTCTGGATTAGGACTTTCCTGGATCATCAATTTAAATTTGGTAAGATGGCATGCAGAAATTATACAATTAAAAATATGAAACCGTAATTTATGAAATAAAGAGCAATTATGATCTAAAGGGTATCAAAATTTACAAAAAAAAAGCTTAATACTTATTTGTTTACTTTATTAAACAGTTCTTTTGATGTAAGTTGTTTAAGTTGCTTTGTTTTTGTGCTAATACTTTCTCTTTAATTCTATAAACAGACATACTTTCTTGTTCAGTTACAAATTTCCACTGTTCAAGTCCTGTAATTGCTGTGTCGAGAATACTGACTAACTTGTCAATTGAAATTTTTTCATTTTCAATAACCTCTCTGTCACTTTCTTCACTATCGGAAGCGAGGCATGCGCGCATGCGTATTGGAAGCGTGCATTAAACACGCATGCGTAAAGCATACAAAAAAAAGGTTTGTGGTTTGGACGTCCAGATTATAGATCATTCCGGATAATGGATGTCCGGATTACGGACTTTGTACTGTACTTCTCTCCTACTGCTAAAAACCCAATCTTAGGTCTTTTAAAGCCATTATGCGCTATCTCATTATTCTAAAAGTAAACTTAATCTAAAAGTTCAAGAATTAAAAGTACACATCCTTCATGGCAAGCTATCTTGCTGAAGTGACAATTAGTCATCCTTGAAGTTTTTAATTATCTTTAGAGCTTTTACATCCACTGGCAGTTCAGATGACAAAGCATCCCTGAAAACTGGCACTTTGGCAAGCCACATCAATTGCAAATTAAATATCTTAAGCCTAATAAAATGGCAATGCTTCCCAGGATAGGTATTGATATGTATCATGCTGATATAATGAAACACAAAATCATTTTTAAAAAATAAAAAGTTTCTAATGATTAAAAGAAAAGCTCCCTTTTCACAGTGTCTTCTGTTATTTTTGCCAGGATTCACCTGCAATTTCTATATCTGAAATTTCAGATATTTCTGCTACTTATCTATATTGGCATATTTTTCAAAACATACATTATTACTTTGCATAGTTGTACTTAAATGGATTCCAGCCCATTGTGCAGTTCAGGGTAATGAGTCACCAATTTCTTGGATATGAAGGGAGCTTCTGCCCTTAAAACGTCACAGCCTAGTTTCCCTTACAACTCCATTAAGTCAATTGTTAGGAAACCCTCACAGACATTAAAAACTCACAGACAGAAGCAGAAATAAATCATGATTAGACAGATTATTGAAGTACCTGAATGCCCTAGAAATAAATCTGTGGCATTGTTCCGTCTTATACCTGGCCACGACTGCTTCCGTAAGCACCTTCAACATATCAGTGTTGCTCCTGACTCTCTTTGCCACTTATGCAATCTTAAGGAAGACATAGACTTGCCACATTTAAGCAAACATATCAGTGTTGCTCCTGACTCTCTTTGCCACTTATGCAATCTTAAGGAAGACATAGACTTGCCACATTTAAGCAAATGCCCTGCCCTTCCTCATATTTTGATTTAGAGGTGCTACGATGGCGAGGAAAACCCGCAGTTTACAGATATACTGATGTCAATTTTCTCTTCTTTGTTTTGTATTTTATTTGATCTTCAGTTGTCTTGTAATGTGCCATTAGAAATAAAAAAAAATCATTTGCATTGATCTAAGCAATTCTTTAACTAAAAATTTAACCATAGTATGCAGTTCCAGTTCAGAAGCCATCAACTACAAAATCCTGCTTGCTGGAAACAGTTTTGAATTATGGTAAAATCCATTCAGTTACAAGCCGCATAAAAAAATTAATAGCAATTTCAATGGCCACTTTTTTCTTCCTTGTTTGTCTCTAAGCTGAAACTGAATACATAAGATGACCAAGCATGTTATGTAAATAATTAACTTGCAAACACAAAATCTTACAGAAACAATAATGCTTCTCAAATCTGCTAACCACAAGTTTTTTTTATACCTACACCATCAATATCACAGGCTTAAAGAAACACCAAGCACTCTATTTTTCCAGCCAAAATATTTGTCATATTTAACTGATTTCATCAATTTATTAACAATGCCATTAGAACTCACTATACAGTTAATGTTAGGAATTAATGGAGGTTAACTCACTATACAGTTAATGTCAAATGATATAATGATCATTAAATTTGCTAATTCAGCCCTCATTAGCCTTGCTGCTCAGAAAACTGAATGTAAAACTTCTAGCCTTCCATTCCGAAACAGCACCTCTGGAAAAACAGATTTTTGCCACTCATACCTTTAATGAAAATGCCACTTTTTAAACGTCAGAACATGTGGTTTGTGTTAATTTAAAATCAACATGACTTTACAATGCAGTTGATTTTAACAATGCAAAAGATATTGTTTTAATTACTTTTATCATAATAGCAATATTTGATAGATAAATTTTTAGTTCACTATGTTACTAATGAAATTTTATAACATTTGTGCACTTTATATACTGATAAATATTGATTTATATACCTTAGACATTACTGTATCGAAAACAGCAAGGAAATTACAATGCTCATATGTGCAAGACAACATTTTAAATAATGATGTTACTCAATACATATTTATATCTATGAAATAAATTTAATTATCTCAAATATAAATGTTAAAGCATTTCTTTATTAAGCATATCAAATTTCAATGCAATGTATTTTTAACCCTCAGCTGGTATGATCTATGCTTCTGGATTCTAGTAACTCTTATATAAAGAATTTTACTCTTTTCCTTGGTACATTCATTTTATTTAGAGAATGACTAAAATGTATTTTATCTTTAAAAAAATCATTAATGTCTGTGAACAACTGATTATAGAAAAAAAAAAAGGTCAGCAAACAACATAAATGTATCTGTATCAGTTTTGCACTTTGTTTTTTGGCCATACCAGTTGCAGGTTAAAGCAAATACGATAAAAAAAACTGAATCTTCAGCACCTTATAATAATTAATATTTTGAAACTCTTAAATCTACAGTTAAAAACTGAAAGAGGAAAAGAAAAGGAGAAAACTTCACCTTTCAGGTTTAGGTGAGGACAGAATGCCATGTTGTGAACTAAAATCATTTGAATTTCTTAAGTCTTTATGTTGCAAACGATCAAGAGAAAGCTGCACTAAACTCTGAAATTAGGTTTAACATCAAAATTAATAAGTAAATATTACATGCATATGACAAAGACAACAATACTTTTTTTTTTTTTTTTTTATTTTTGGTTTTCACTGAAACAGTATCAAAATAGACACAAATGCGTGAAATTGTAATAAAAAATTAATTAAAAATGTCAACATCATGTAATATAATCTCTATAATAATTACTTTTTAAATAGAGAAGTTTTAAACATTTTAAAAATTTTTTTAAGTATTTTCCCCACACAGTTAAACCAAAGTTTATACACAACAGAATCAGTATGCCTGAAAATTTCCAAAGCTTCTCAGATGTCAACAGAGAAATGCACATAAATTAGATGAATTTTGAAAATGTTCAGATATTACTCGCATCTAAAAATTTCAGCCCATAAAATAAAAGACAGCTCACAATCACAAGAAGATTACATTTTTTTTTTTTTAAATAATCTCTATATCTCAATATCAGCCACACAGAACTCATTATTAATATGTTTGATTTGATCTTTTACTAGCAGAAATGCTACACAAGTTTGAGCTGTCATTTCTCTAAAAAACTGTATGAATATGGTATTTTACATAAAGCTGCACTTGCTTAAAACAGCATAAACACTTAGTACAGGAAAAAACAGTGCTATATTTCTCATTTCTTCTGTATCACTATTTTTCCCTTCAGAAGAAACTATGTTATAGTCACCATTCACTGCTCAATCAAGAATTCTGTTTGAATTTAAGCAACATGTACTGGTCTAAAGATAGACAACCTTTGTAACATCTAGTGGAATTTTTTTACTTATTGGAACTTTTTATGGAATTTTTATACTTAGGTTTTAGTAATGTAAGCACTAAATTTTCATGCTTTGAATTGCAATGAAATGGCATGGGAAATACTGGTAATTTTCACAATTTATTATTTTGTTGCTTTTCAATGATCAGTTGCAAATGCACTGACAAATTTAAAAAAAAAAAAAAAAGGTTAAAAAAAATGCCTCAAAATTGGGTTACATTTTTTTTTAGGTTATTAGTAAATGTAATCAGATTCCAAAGAGTATTGATATTCAAGACATTAAATAGAAGCATCTGACAATTACTACGCACTATGTAGAAAGCAAAAAATGCATAGTTAATATTTTGCTCCTTCATGCATAAATAGTTAACCAACAGCTATTTTACATTATGTTCTTTAGCATACAAGAAAGACTACAACTGCAGGAGGTAAATATTTTAAGACAATTCTCACTTCCAAATGCAAAGAAAATTCCAGGAGTACATACTACAGCCAGTGATTTATAAGTAAAATTTCTATAAAGAAATTTCTTTACAGAATTAGGTATCAGAATCGTGTAGAAAATTCAAACGTCTTACAAAAGAAAAGAAAATCCTAAATGATTTCTTTAAAAGAAATTTTCATCCACAAATAGTAGGAAAGTAAATATATTAAGCAACAATATAGAAAGAAGCACAGGCTGATTAAGACAAATAAGAGGGCCATTTGTATAAGAGAAGGGATGTCTTTGTATAGGGCAAGAGAAAGTGGCACATATTTTATGTTATGCATTGTAAAACTTCATAAAAACCTAGTAAAGCTGACTCATTCACCAGAAAAACCTCAAGATGCTAACTATGGAATAGAAATAGCATGCATTCGGCTTCCAGACTCAACCCTTTCTAGGAAAAAAAAAAGCTCAGGAGCAAAACATTGAACATCTAAATTAGCAGTGCAACATAGAAAAAAGAAACAACTGTATATTATCTATCTCAACCCTTATCACTAAATAATGAATATAGCTTTTTATTAATAATAAATCCACTTTAATATATTAATTACCCTTGTGAAATAAACATAAATTTACAATGCTGCAAAACTTAATGAAAGTTTAATAATAATGTATTTTCTGACCTTTACTACCTGATGGTTAATCAGAACAAATAAATTTTTTAAAAAAATTTTAAAAGATGATGGGAAGAATTCAGATAAACATATGTACTGGTCTACGTGCATTTCCAAGCAATTTTTCTTAACAGAACTAATAACAAAAATAATAATTACATAAAAACATTCATTTCTTGGAAAACAACTACATAAAAATTATACATCATTTTAAATATTTTTCTTTCTTTATAATAGACTTTACAGAAAATATAATATGATAGAATTTTTATATGTTGTTCCAGCAATGACTCCTGTCCCAAATTTATTATTTACCTTTTCTGGACCCATATGAAGTTAACCAAAAATAAATAAATAAAGCTATTTATTTCAAAATCCATCACTCAATAAACTACCATTTCAGCACAAAAATTATTTGTGAATTACATTTCTGACACAGTATTTCTCATTTCAACCATTGGGAAAAAATTTCAAGTGAAATATGTATTTAATATTTTTCTTCTTTTGAACTATAAATCTGGCAACATAATACAGTAACATTTCGCACAAGGACCTCAGCTCTGCATCTATGTTATTTACATCATTTCCAAATATTATTTCAATGTAAGCTGCAATAAATTTATTTTCACTAGCTTTCACTATTTTCTTCATGCTGGTTTGCAGGTATTTTAAATTCAATATTCAGTTTGGATTCAGAAGAACTATGGAGGAACTAAAATGAACACAGATGGTCAGGACTTCTTTTTAATACACAAAATGGAAGTGATTCAAATCATGAAAATATTCCAAATCACAAAAAGTAATGTTTTCAACTGAGCCAAAATTCAGCCAAGAGGCAAAGTACAATGCATGATTTTTTTCAAATAATTTTTAATAAAGTACATGCATGCATGTTAGAAGCAGTTACGTGTTTTTTATTCATAATACATAATAGTTCCTTGCTTAAGTGATCTGCATTCCCTGTTTTCCTAATCTCTTTCGTAGCATGTTTTCTAATCGTAGCATGATAAAGTCTCTACATTTTTGAAGCTATATTAAAAAAGTATTATTGCATAATTAACAGAATGTAAAATTCATTTAAAATAGAAAATTGACAGATGTGCTGTTTAAAGGATATCTACAATTAAAAATTCTTATACGGTATAAAATCCGAAATTCAGATGTCCAAAGTGTCCAAAATCGTCTAATATCCAGACCTCGCAACCATTAGCAAGGTCCCCCCTCCCTTCTTTCTTTTTGAATTTTTCTCCTTACAAAGCTTAGGAATGGAGAATAGAATAATAAAAGTAATTTTTAACAACCAGTGGAGATTCCTGTATGTCACTTTCAAACATCTGTTGGCTAAATACAATGATTAATGTTGCATTGACATTAGCCATGACCACATTTTCAGCCCTTTAGTGGTGATGTGTAGGGGTTCGTTTGATTGGTTTATTTGATTACAGTAAAACATGTGAGGATTATCTGCCTTAGGGTAGAGAGGGCTTTCATAGAGGGCTTTCTGAGGGAAACTGACTTGCAACCATATTACACATGGGGGAAACCACGAAAATGCCCATGTAGCCACCCTACTTGCCTAGAATCAAACCCTGGTCAAAGTACCAGGGTTGAGAAATTTTACCACTCGGCCACTGTTGCACTTGCACAGGCAGGTTAACATTTTTCTACCTTCCCTAAACAGTAAGCCCCAAGACATAGTTATTTAGAGTGAGATGCTGCTCACACTGGATATTTTTTTTTAATTTTTTTTTTAAATTTTTTTTTTTTTTTTTTTTTTTTTTTTTTTTTTTGCACAGCAGTAAGGAAGGGAGAGAGAATTTGTTTCAAAGGAACTTAAGTTCAGTTAACATAGCAAATTTTTCTCTTCCCTTAATTTCCCGATTCAAAATAACTTATTATTTTGTTGCGTCTATCTATTAATCTTATCAACATTGCAGTTTTAGTAAATGATAACATCAAGAAGTAGATATCAAAATTTTAAGCACACTGGAATTAGGTATAAAGTGCTGCATCAGTTTTTAAAAACAGATGCAGCACTCCAAAAACAGATGCAGACCATCCAAAAATTCTAAAAATATTTTAATATAAAATCTGAAATCATTGCCAGATCATGGAAGAGTGTGTCTGCAAATATTTTTTTAAACAGTAGGCATAATTTAGAGTCAGCTACCAAATTTTACAATGATGATGAACCATGAATCTAATGGTTTTCAGATATGACAAGAAAAAGCAAAATTTTCTGATTAATGGAATATGAGAAAAAAAAGCTAAATGAAGATGATAATTGATATCTCACATTGTGATGACAATGCCTCGGTCATCAGTTACCAGCATAGCAAATACATGCAGTATACTTTTAAATCTAAAAAATACTGCCATTTTACCTTTGAGTCACATTTGAATTTGATGTGGTGGTGATTCAGGGGAAAAAAAAACTTTATGTGAAATATCTTTTTCTTGCAGAAATATTAATAAAGAATATTTTTAATTTTATAGCTTCTGTGTGTTATCTTATTAGATTTACAGTAGCTCACATTTGTTTATGGTAACTTGAATTTTTTTAATTTATTTGCCTAGATCTTTATATACATACTGAAACACAGACCTCAATTATTTTTTCTTTAATTTAAGCTTTGCTTGTTGTAAAATAAATATCCCCAAAATATTCCTTGCAATATAATAATTAGTTCAAAAACAGTTAATTAGTAACCTACAAAATTTTATAGAACTATTTCACTAGACAATGTTTCGTGTTATATTTTTTTTTTTTTTTTTTTTTTTGCTTTAAATGATCATCTGCATTTGTAAATTTTTCCTTGTTTAACAAAATATATTAACAGTTCCATATCTGACATGAAAATGTAAAGACACGACAAATTATTGACCAAGTCTGTTACAAATTGAATAATTCATCTTTTTAGAGAGTAACAGCATTCAAAATATCCAAAAAATTATTGATGCAAGTAATTAACTATCTTTGATTTAATAAAACAAAGAAAACTGATGGAAGTATTGAAAATGCATTAAGTCTCAATCGTATTCAAAGCTAACTCCAAGGAATGGCAGATTTCTTCCATGAAAAATCAAATAACACCCAAATATTAGAACACCAAAAGGTTCAGGAGATTCAGAAGATTAATTTGCAATAAAAAATAACCCTGAAGGTCACTTAATCATGGATACAATAGGTGATTAGCAAGAAGGAAATTTTTTGTCAACAAGAAGAAAACAAGAAAAATACATCTGATGTTAGTGAAATCTATAGTAAGCACAGTTTTATCATATTAGATCATGTTATATTTTGCAGAAGACAAAACTTAATATATTTGGGTTTGATAGACAAGTTATTATGTAGCAAAACCCAAATTACGAACTGAATTAAAAAAAACCTATTGCTAATATGGATTGGTATAAAATATATAATTATTCTTAATGAAAACTTGAAAGTATATGCAAGAAAACTTGGATTGGAAACTACATTCAAGTTACATCAGTGTTACGATTCAAAACGTAAAGCCCTAAATATTCACTTGAGCTTAATATCCAACAGTCCTGAAGTTAGCAAAACTTAATGTTCTTCAGTAATAAGAATAGGAAACATAATACTTCTTCGAAAGCTCTACTAAAAGCATTTCTTCCAAAGAAATGGAACATCCTTATACACACACACACAAAAAGACAGAATCCATGCCAAAGCACATTAGCCATTTGAAGGCCAAAATGCTTGAGTCAGCCTTTGATTCAAATGACAACTGCCCAAAACGACCGAGATTGTGGTGGTGTTTTCTGACCTCCCCCTAAAGTATGCAGTAGCAGGTGCAGTTTCCTCAAATGCATTGTATCAGTTTATTGCAAACAGCTTGACCTAAACTGCTAATGGAAGCTTCTTTGTTAGGAAGTAGAAAGGATGTCATTCGAAATATTCAAACCTCTTAGTGCATCAATGAACAGGAAGGGGAGGAAACGGAAGGGATGGGTAACGGATGGAGATGGGCGTTTCAGTATTTTAAGCATACAGGTTAGAAAAGGCTTCGATTTCCTAAATGTTAAAGGTGTCATTTTAGCTAAAATATATCCAATGAAATATTGAATGCCTTATTATTTTCACGTTTTTATTAAATATAAATTGTTTAACCAAAGTGTCTGAATTTGAGTTCCTTTTCAGATTTTTTTTTAATTTTTTCCTCTTGCTCAAAAACAATTTTGAGTAACATTTTTCAAAATTTTAAAATAGATGATCAATAGTACAGAAGAAAGGAATATCAAAAGAAAGTCATTTTGTTAATATTTAAAAGCTGGTATTTCAAATAAAACTGAAAACAAATGTGAGCCACTGTAGACTGATGATCTAAAATCCAGAAATTTCCGGAATCACTGAAGTCCTAATGCTTCCTGAGCTCAGACTTTGTTCTGTAGAAGTGCACTATGGCAGGAACATAAGCAATTCTTTAGACACATTTTTGAAAAATTTATTAAATCTGTAGTGAATATGCAAATCATTTCCGATTAGTTACTCTAATTTTCTTATAGTTTGCTAAATATGTTAACAATACTTATACACAAAAGCATATTAAAAAATGAACATTTACTAATAAAGATGTCATTTTGAATTATTACATTATAGCTATTTAAAAAAATAATAAATTGGTTACAAGTATGCATCATTACCAAAAAAGATTTTATTTCTAATTCAACCCTTTGACTTAAAATGATATCCAGGATGTATCACTTGTTATTAACGTCAAAACAAATTTTGATGCATCCTAGACAACATATAACTTGTCAGTTTCAGGTAAAATTTCCTCTCCCCCCTTAGTTATACTTTAAAATCTAAAATAAAATTCTTGATAACTGCAAATTAGTCTTAAATTAATTTATACTTTTTAAGAGCATGAACTTTGAATATGATCCATATATATTTTGCTTTAAAGCTGCAATTGTTAGTAGCTGATATTTCAGTAACCATTTTAATAACGAATATTAATCAATTATAACAAAAGAAAACCTACCTTTACCGCTTCCCGAACAGCTTGCACAACCTCAACAACATTTTCTTTTTCAACAGCTTTTTCACCATATAATAATATATTGTCAGACCAACGAATAAGATTAGCTAATGTTTGATATACTTGGTTTGAAGCAGATAACATTAATGAGCTGTAAATATAAAGAAGTTCATTTAAGTAAATACCACCATATTAAGAAACTTAACAGTGATAAAATCAAAATTTCACACTTCCTAACTGCACACTATTCAAAACTGTAATTATCAAATAATACGAGGGTAAGTTGAAAAATAAGTTTCCCCTGTCGACTGTGGTCAGAGTTGTGTATGAAAGTCAAAAAATAGAATGAGACATTAAAGATATGACATACCTTTATTTTTTCACATAGGTACCAAGTACATTGAGACATTTGTCATATTCCTTGATAAGCTTCAAAAAGCCCTCCAGGAAAAAATCAGGGCTTTACATATGGAAGAAGCGTTGAACGGCTTGTTTCACTTCAGTATTGCTTCCAAAGCGCCTTCCCCCGAGATTTTTCTTCAAAGCCGGAAACAGATGGAAGTCGCTTGGTGCGAGATCAGGACTGTATGGCGGATGGTGTAGGCGCTCCCAACCAAGAGTTGCAATATGGTTTTGCGTTGCCGTTGCTGAATGTGGTCTGGCATTGTCATCCAACAGCAGAACGCCAGATGTGAGAAGGCCAGGCCGCTTTTTCCAAATCGCCTCTTTCAATTTCGACAGGGTGTCACAGTAGCGCATAGCATTGATGGTTCCAACCTCCAAAAAGTCCAGCAACAAAACTCCTTGGACGTCCCAGAATACTGTGCGGAGCACTTTACCTGCAGAGGGAGTTGTCTTGAACTTCTTTCGGACAGGTGAAGACAGATGTTTCCACTCCATAGATGCGGCTTTCGATTCTGGCGTGAAATGGTGGACCCACATTTCATCCCCCGTCACAATCCGAAACAGAAAGTCATTGCCATCTTCATGGTAACGCATGAGATGTTCCAGGCTGACCCCCATGCGTTGTTCCTTGTGTGTCGGCTTTGAAGAAAAATCTCGGGGAAAGGCGCTTTGGAAGCAATACTGAAGTGAAACAAGCCGTTCAACGCTTCTTCCATATGCAAAGCCCTGATTTTTTCCTGGAGGGCTTTTTGAAACTTATCAAGCGATATGACAAATGTCTCAATGTACTTGGTACCTACGTGGAAAAATAAAGGTATGTCATATCTTTAATGTCTCATTCTATTTTTTGACTTTCATACACAACTCTGACCACAGTCGACAGAGTAAACTTATTTTTCAACTTACCTACATAGTAACCCATTGGCCAGAATTTAAGTCAGCCCCACATATTATTTTGAGATGAGATAAGATCAAATAAATATGCTTTAATGTGAAAGGATAAGTTGAATAATGTGAAAGGATAAGAAAACAGGATAAGTTGAGCATTAGTACAGCTATGGCTCTCAGGCATCTTACAGACCAAAAAATATGGTACTTTCTGAATATCCGCATTTCCAATGAAAGTTCACAAAAAAGTATTGTTGAGGCAAAAAAAACTTTTGAGATTCAATGGTCATTTTCCTGATTAGCATTTCTTTTTGCACTGAATACATTTGTTTTTGTTAGACTGACCGGAATGAGACTGTTAACTTTACAATCTGGAAAATGTGTTGCACTTCTTCAGAAATCTGGCATTTTACCTGATTGAAAAAAAATGCAAAAATTTACATTTCGTACTATTGAAGTTGTACATTTTAAATAACTGAATTTGACATGTAATGTAAAAAACTGCAAGCAAAGTATTAGACTATGAGTTGGAAAGTATCTTAAGATAGCTGTATCTTGTTTACAACAGCTGTTCGCTTTATTTAATTTTTTGGACAAAGGAATAATGTATATCAGTGCTATGAGGAACTGGGTTATCATCAAACAGAATTATCAATTGGTTAATTACCCCAAATGCTCTCCAAAGTCGTAGACAGGTTCGTAAATTTACAATGTGGGTGCAGATAATCAGAAAGTAACACAACTCTTTAAATTCAGGCCAATTTAAAATTTTCTTTTATTTCACTTATACAAATTGTGATTTACTTTACATTCCAAAGAAATATAATTTCCTTAATTAAATGCATGGCACAACCAGCACACCACGCACCATGTTCCCTAAAAAAAAAAAAAAAAAAAAAAAAAGAAGAATAAATAGCCTAAATAGATTGTAATATCAATGAACATTTTTAATGACAGAGATTAACTTAAACATAGTTGCGTACAGCAGAGAAAAAGGGCGAAGAAGTAAGAATGGTATACATATACATACATACGTAATAAACAGTTACGTCATCATTCACCGCGCGGATAAACGCGAACGGCGCATGCGTCAGGAGAAGCTCTCTTAAGCTAAACGTCGTATTATAATTTATGATACAACAATCCCCCTTTCGACGTTTGGCGGCTGAAAAAAAAAATAAACATTAATCATTTACAGTTATTCCAATTAATTTACAGCACTTAGAATGTTTCGAAGCAGTCAATGTTTTTGTCAGTACATCAGCAGGCATTTTCTCTGTTGGCACATATTTAACGTCTATTTCATTTCTTTCATAAATTTCACGAATGAAATGATGTCTAATATCTATGTGTTTAGTGCGTGAGTGATAAACAGCATTTTTCATAAGCTTTTGTGCACCTTGATTATCACAATATATAATGGTTGGATAATCAGCAGTAAAATTTAATTCTTTAAGAAAACGACGTAAATAAACTGCTTCTTTGGCACTTTCTGAAAGACTGATGTACTCTGCTTCAGTACTTGATAATGCAACAGTTTGTTGCTTTCGTGATTCCCATGTTATCGGATTTCCAGCTAGCTTGAATAGGTAACCTGTATACGATTTTCTAGTATTAACATCAGACGCCCAGTCGGCATCGGTATATCCAATAAGTGCTTTTTCCAGTCTTTCGAAATTTTAAACAATAATTTTTAGTTCCTTTTAAGTATCGAAGAACGCGCTTTGCAGCCAACCAGTGTAATTTTCCAGGATTGTTATTAAATTGGCTCAGGTGACTGACGGCATATGTAATATCCGGCCTAGTAAACACACAGAAAGATACATAAGCGAACCAATTAGACGGCGATAAGGTACATTGTTCATTTCTTCCTTTTCAGTTTCAGAAGGACACATTTCTTTACTTAATTTTACACTAGGATCTAAAGGAGTTGCTACTGGTTTTGCATCTTGCATATTAAACCTTCGTAGAATATTATCAACATATTTCTGCTGAGATAAACTAATAGAATTATTATTTACATCTTGATTAAATTCTATTCCAAGACAATAATGAAGTTTGCCTAAATCTTTAACATGAAATTCTTTAGAAAGATAACCTTTAAGTTCAGCATATAAATCACAGCTATTTGTTGCTATTATTAAGTCATCAACATATAAAATTAGAATTAACTCACCTTGAGATGTTTTCATCCTGTATACACACTTATCTGATTGTAATGGTTGTAATCCAAAGTTTTTGAGTTTTTTGTCTAATTTTTCATACCACTGTCGTCCACTTTGTTTCAAACCATAAAGAGACTTTTGCAAAGCATAAACATAATCAGGATTATTTTGGTCTTCAAAACCTTTAGCTTGTTCCATGAAAATTTCTTCTTTTAAATCTCCGTTAACATAAGCCATAACAAAATCTAGTTGATATAACATAAGGTCTTGTTCAGCACTGTATGCAATCACAGTTCTTATAGAACTTGCTCTGGCTACTGGAGCAAAGGTTTCATTAAAATCAATTCCAGGTTCCTGTGCAAATCCTCTAGCAACCAATCGAGCTTTTCTCTTTTGAACTGTTCCATCTGCATTATATTTCGTTCTAAGAACCCAGCGACATCCTATTACCTTTTTGTTGTGTGGTCGCTTTACTAATTTCCATGCACCATTTTTAACAAGTGCTTCATACTCACTTTGCATAGCCTTATGCCATTCTTCAGCATAACTTCCATTTAATGCTTCTTCTAATGTCGGATTTGTATCTTCTTCAGCAATTTGTGCTTCTTCCTTTTCTATGTTTATATTGTGGTACTCCTTTTTTGGTCTTCCTGGCTTCCCAGTCTTGACTTTCTTTGGACGACCTGGCCCCCTTTTTAATCTGCATTTCAGGTAGTGCTTCGGAATCAGAATCTTCATTATCAGATGATTTCTGCCATATTTGAGGGGTCTTCTGTTATTTCATCAGCCGATATTTGCTTTACATTCAGAGGTTCTTCCTTCTTTTTATCAGGAATATTTTCGAGAAATAAAACTTCTAAATCTTTATCATAATTAGTACAGTTTTCAAATTCATCAATGAATCTAACATCTCGGCTTATAACGATTTTTCTGGAATTTTTATTCCACAGCCTGTATGCTTTCGATTCATTTGAGTATCCTACAAATATATGTTCTTCTGATCGAGGATCGAATTTCCCTTTAGACCTTTTATTAAGTACAAAACATTTCTGTCCGAATACTTTGAAGTGAGATACAGTTGGCTTGATGCCAAAAAATAACTCATAAGGTGTTTTGTTTACTCCCAGGCTTCGATTTGGGCAACGATTACGAATATAAACAGCACAGTTCAAGGCTTCAGCCCAAAAGGATTGGGAAGATTACTTTGTAGTAACAAACATCTGGCCATTTCAGTTAAAGTGCGGTTCATGCGTTCAGCTCTCGAATTCTGTTGAGGAGTCATTGGTGCAGAGAATTCTCGTTTAATCCCGCATTCTTGAATATATTTATTAAATTCTTCTCCGCGATATTCGAGACCGTTATCAGTCCGAAGGATTTTTATTTTCTTTCCTAGACGATTTTCGACCGCAGCTTTGTATTTAATGAATGCATTTTTCACTTCATCTTTAGTTTTAAGAAAACTGACTTCGACATAACGCGATTTGTCGTCTATGAAAGTAACAAAATAACGCGAACCAGCATGGGATGGGACTCTCATAGGTCCACACAAATCTGAGTGAATCAAGTTCAGTAATTCATCACTTTGAAATTTTTGATTCTTTTTGAAAAGGTTGCACAGTTTGTTTACCTCGGATACAGACTTTGCAGTCTTTTAGAGATTCAGTGTTATTAAAATTTAAATTTCTAACCATGTTATCAGACTTAAGTCTTTTCAAATCAAATCAGACTCATTTAAATGACCTAATTTAAGATGCCACTTTACAAAATCACTTACCTGTGCTATTGCAGCTGTTTCAGTGCTTGGATGTATATAATAAAGATCACCATGACGAATAGCCTGCACTAGTATAGATCCATTTGGTTCTATTATTCTAGCATGTCGTTCTGTAAAAATCACTGAACGATTATTTGCAGTAGCTTTAGATGTTGACAGCAAATTACATTTTAATTCCGGAACACATAACACATTTTTGAGCGTAAGTTTAATTGTCTTATTTCCGTTAGGTACTGTTATAAGGACAGTTCCAATTCCTGTAATTTTTGCTGTTTTGTCAACTGCTAACTTTATGGTTGAATTCGTTCGAGGGTGAAATTCTGAAAATAACCTTCTGTCATTGCACATGTGAGATGTACAGCCACTATCTAAGCACCATGAGGAGGTCTTCTGATAAGCATTGTTTACTGCTAAACTAATCTGCTCTTCATAATTAGAAGCCATCATAGAACCTTGATTTCCCTTATTTGATTGCGCATATTTTCTATCAGCTATTTTCTTTCTGCATTCAGATGCCTTGTGCCCAATTTTCGAGCAGTAATTACACTTCAAGTTTCGAAAATTTCTTTCAGCTGGAAAATTTTTGTTTGAATTTACCTTCCATTTTTCATTTTTCTTCTGTTCTTGATTTCTTCTTTTATAATCAGTATAGTATGCATTCTGTGAATCTTGAGACGTTTTCCCTTTTCTTGCTTCCCATTCTTCTAACATTTTGATTTTCAAAGATTCGGGACTAGGTAACTGATCTCTTGATTCGATGGCGCATCTAAAATTTTCAAAATTTTCTGGAATACTATAGAGCAGAAGAATCGATAATAAATCATCAGCTATGTCAATTTCCATTTGTTTAAGCTTATCAACTATTTCGAAGAAATTATTCAAATGTTCAGACATCGTTTCGCTTTCCACCATTTTTCTAAATAAAAGCTGTTTTAATAATGTAGCCTTCTTCGCAGGTCCTTTCGATTCATATACGGCTTTGAGTTTATTCCACACACAGCATTTGATGTCACACAATGCTTTATATGACACAGTTCACTAGGATTAATAGCAAGAATTATATCTGCGCGAGCTTTTTGATCAGCTTGGAGCCATTTCTTTTCGTCTTCGGTTTCCTTCAGCAGGTTTTAGCACTTTACCGGTTACATAATCCCAATGGTCGTTTTTAATCAATACTGCTTCTATTTGTAATTTCCAACTGTCAAAATTATCTTTTCCGAGCTTTTCTATAGTAGTCAAATGCGACATAATGTAATACAGTCTCTCACAGCCAAAAAACAAGATTGAGCGCTATAAAAATAGGCTTAACTGAACGCTGATCAGTTCTTACCGTTGATTAGACGTAAAAGTTCTTGCACTGAATTAGGCTTAAGAGTTCAATGCTCGAAAACTTCAAAATGTTCATTTTAAAATAAGTATTTTGCTAATAAGCACAGTTGAAACGTTCCTGGGCCCATAACCATTGAAGAAATAAATGAGCCTAAATAGATTGTAATATCAATGAACATTTTTAATGACAGAGATTAACTTAAACAAAGTTGCGTACAGCAGAGAAAAGGGCGAAGAAGTAAGAATGATATACATATACATACATACGTAATAAACAGTTACATCATCATTCACCACGCGGATAAACGCGAACGCCGCATGCGTCAGGAGAAGCTCTCTTAAGCTAAACGTCGTATTATAATTTACGATACAACAATACTCCATCAGAAAAAATTACACACTTAATTTTATATCCCTTATCTCAACCCCGAAGATATATGAATGCATACAACATAAAGAAGGAAGATAAAAATAGGTTTTTAAGTTTTCATCCTGCTGCTACCATGTTCTAAATTCCACTAACACATTACAAACATTCCTCTAGCAAGTGTGTAAAACACTGATACCACAATAGTATGTAGTAGAGTAGCCACAAATGTGAATCAATGAACATGAGCTCAATGAGCCAACAGAATGAGTAGCCATGAATGTATGGATGACAGAATGAGATGCAGAAGCTTGGAGGCAGATCAGTCACAAGTGTAGGCGGCTAGAAAGCTCAACGTTCTGCCCAGTGTCATCTGCAATTTAGGAAAGAATTTCAGAACACTGGATCCATATTTACAAGATGTTGACAAGGTCAACCAAGATCCACAACAATGAATGAGGATCATTACTTGGCACTTTCAGTGTAGCAACACAGGATTGCTACAGCTTCAAAGCTCCTACGAGAGTGCAAGAGCTGTATGCTGCCACTGGAACCCAAGTTTCATGGTCTACAGTTGCCTAAAAGCTTCATAAGATTGGGTTGTATGGCAGCATAAGAAAATGAATTTAGCATGATGCAGACCACATGTGTCATGGATCAGACTCTAGTGAAGCACCATACTTCTTATACATGAGATTCAGCCTAGACACTAATTCCTGCTGTACCTGTATCTCAAGAGAGCCTGGAACATGATATTATACCTCCCTCATTAGGGAAAAGAATCATTTGGCAAAGTCTCTCTGACTGCTATGAGGTATAGAGAGCAGATCTCAGAGCCTTATGTTTAACTTTTCAGGGGCACAGTTGCTCCTGGGTTCGAATGGATGACAATGCTTGCCCACATGCAGCTCAGCTGGTCAATGATTAACCAGAAGTGGGGATATTCACCGTATGGATTGGCCAGCCAGATCTTAAGCCTATAGATCATGTCTAGGACACTCTTGGGAGGACAATCTCATCTCACCCTCCCTTCCCTCTGAGAACCATCCTAGAGTTGGCAATTGCCTTGCTGCAAGAATGGAATTGATGACCACAGGGGCTCCTCCACTACCTCTTATCACTAAAAGGGTATGATTAATTCAGTCTGCAAAATGTACCAGACAGAGCAAGTAAACAGAACAATCTGAAGCTCTCAGCTAGAAAGAACTGTCAAACACATGAATGTAGCAAGAACTGTTTTTTGGCACAATACAATAAAGACAATTTCCTGCATTCAACTCTGATAAATGGTGGTGGCAAGGTTTACACAATGCCGGGTTTGCAATTCTGTGATTTATATTTAAGTGAAAACAAATAAAAAAATTACATAGCAATTTGGGAAAGAGTATAAGTGTTTAATTTCTTAATGTATTACTTAATCCTTAATTAGCAATTAAAATTTGTATTTTAACTTGCTAAATATATTTCCTTTTCATATGGTGATAATTTCTGCAGGCTTAAGATAAATGTCGATAGTTTGGGAATCTTTCCAAGTAATTGCAGAAACTACAACCTCGCACCCGATAAGTAACTTTCCATCTGTAAAAAAATCATCAAATTGCATCCAGGAAGTCTGGGGGGGTAATTACTGATACAAGTTTTATGTTAAACATCACTCTGATACTTTATTTTTAAACAATTTGACTCCAATAAAAAATTTTAAATAAATGCCTTCAGTTTTCCTTAAAGACACCCATTAGCTTTTAAAGCTGTCAATGAAACATATGTAAACACTCATTTCAAAGCATCTGTTTAAGAAATACAAAAATATATTCATAAGATGTGCACTTTTAGGAGGAAAAAATGAAGAAGAATTATATTACTTACCTCTGTTCATTGACTAAAGATTCTCTCAGTGCAGAATGAATATTCAAAACAGTTTCTAGAACCACAGTTGCTGAACCTGGCAACATTTCCAAAATATTTTTCTCTACAACATCCTGAAAATACCTAAGATCTGTAGATAGAAGACGAACTGAGCGTAATATAGTGTCTACATCCTAAAAAATAACAGAAATATGTACTTTTTCTCCCTTTATAAAGAATATAAATAACATTTAGTTTGTAACGTAATAAAATATAGTCTGGTAAAAAAATAAAAGGGACTCATAAAAAGGGTGAAACTGTATGGGAAAAGCAAATATAACAGGAATTTTATAATGAAATAAACGTTCTTGATTCTGCCCCACTGTACTCCAGCCTGATAGGATCTCAAAGATGAAGAAATGTAGTAAAAATATTTGGATTATTTTTCACAAACTAACACATGTGCTAACTAATGCATCATTTGCAGCAATAAGTATGGACATGAGAAATGTTCAACAAATAAACTACAGCAAAATATTAAACTTAAAAACTGAGTATTTCTGTGCTTATAATGCAGATAAATATGAGCACTCACATCCCTCAACAATAGTTTGCTTATTTGGGAGGAAATAGGAGAGGCAAATTATCATCCATGAAGGTTAATGTCTGCTTAGCTTATCACTCTTTTTTAAGGATCTGGACATCTGCAGACTTGAGCAGATCAAGAAAAGAGCAAACATAAATGAGTTAACACTTGAAGTTCTACAGTTAAAAAAAAAGTCTGAAAGTAGATGCACTCAAAACATGGTGATCATATATCTCTTTGATATAAAAAATTAGATACTTAGATAGATGATTAAAAACTAATCCTGATGAATGAGATAATACAAAAATCACTAGAGTGAGAAACAAAATAAGAAAAATGATCGAACATTTTTAGCTACACAAGATTAAAGAAACAAAGTATGGTGTGCAGCATGAAATCAATAATAAAAGTATTAACTTGCTAATTAAATTCTATTTTAATCAGTATATACATACACACTTATACATAAATTAAAAGTAAAATATAAAACCCAGAAAACATGTTGCTGTAAAGGCAACAGCAGCACTATGCAAAGTAACAGCCTATGATTTTGTCACATGGCATTATCTCTGCAAAATGTAAAATAGTCACAGAGATGAATCGGAAACAACTGCGATATTAACAAAAATGACTGTGGTTAAACAGTAGATGCAATAAAAGTTAGCTATCCCAGTTCCAATAAAGGATGTAAATACATGTATCATCTAACAACGATAACTTATAATTAGACCTTTCTTACAAACTGACTAATATTCTGACAGCCAAATGTGAATCAATTTGAGAATAAATTTCAAATTTCTTTTCTATCTTTAGTTTAAAAGCAATTGTTAGAAGCTATTAGACTATTGCTTGACAGCAGTATTTGTGCTTTCATTACTGCCTGCTATATCCAAGATACAAAAGCTGATATAAAGTGTTACATACAACGTTAACTGAAAAAGTAGATGGTTGGTTACTTAACTGATTAACACATTACATATGAGGGCTTTCTAACATATGAGGGCTGAGAGGGAAGGGATACTTTGATGTAGCAATTCCTATGGTAAACTGGCTTATATTTGCAGTATATGAGTACAGGTATAAATGGAGCAGGACACTATAATTTCACCGCTGGTCTTAGAGATGTAGTTCCACCACACTAGCTATTAAGCTCTGCCTCAATTTTGCTGAAGAACATCGGCTTCCCACCCCTCTTCCCTAAGCATCAAACCTTCAGGACTTTCAGCTGGACATGTATTTTAAATGCCACTATGCCACACAAACACTATACACTTATAAACATTCACTCCTTTTCCAGGATTGGAACTCTAGACCAACAATACAGCAGACAGGAGCACTTATCATTATACTGATCAGAGTTGCAATTATTTTACATTATACTTAAAGAAAACCATGAAAATGCCTTTACAGTCAACCATTGGGATTTGAAGCCAGGATGAGTTATCAGCGTTCAGCTTTCCTATACACTTGGACACTAGAGGGCCTAAAAAGTACATGATATAGCTACTTTAAGAGCTACCAACTTACTTAAGTACAGGTTGTAGCAAAACTGGCACCTGTGCATTTAAGCAAGCATATTAGGTAGGCCTTACTAACTGCTAAGTTTCCACCCCAGATGGAATTCCGAGGAAGAACACCCTGGGTGCAGTCCGGGATCTCCCATGGTTCTTTGCCTACCAGTACCCTGTCCAGAGAATTTTGGCTTGCCATATATTTTGAGTGCCCTTTAGCTGCACAGACACTATACACTCACAAACATCCATGCCTTCCTTGGAATTCAAACCCAGGCCCTTCAATGCAGCAGTCAGTGTCACTACTACTATCTTGAGTGGGTGGCTACTTAAAAATACAGAAATCCAATTATTCAGATTAACTAAGAATTAATTAAATTTATGGCATACAGCATTCTGATATGATTTTAGCTCCTGGTTGAACATAATGATATTTAGGTTTTCCTATTTACAGAAATATTCATCAGAAACATATGCCTTTAGGTTGACCAAGTATAGTTAATAAAATTTTCCTGTTTCGGCCAAGACTGATACACAGAACTACAGATTTTTAGTGTGAATCTGAAAAGAGACCCAAATCTCATCCATCATAAGTTAACATAATATGTTTACTTCAAAAAGCTTATGAACAGGCCACAGATGCTGTCTCCTTGCATTTAACGATTTACTGCATGTAATTTTTTAAGGTAGCATTCTTCAACGATAGCCGATTGATAATTTTTGACTTAACTGTTACACACACAGGACTGTGTTCATATTTCCCAATGAAAGAACATGAAATATTAACACCATTTTCAAAAACTGCTATAGCACTGTGCTAGTTTCTTCCTCTTTTTTTCCAGTATTTCTGACACTTTAATTCAAACCAAAAGTCAGGTTCTTAATCTGACTACTGCAAGTCAAAGATATTTGTTTTTCCTTTAAATCTAATTTCAAATTATTCTATAGTTCCCATGATCTTCTAAAAATGCTTGAACTTAAGCATTTGACATTTTGCCAGATTTCGTTCAAAGGCATGATTTCAATTTAAGCAAATCATTGGCATTAATAGTTAAAAAAATTACCCTTTCGATCATTGTACTATTATATACAAAGAAAAGTTTGAAAAACAAAGTGACAATCAAATGAGATCCCTGGCATTTTTGGTTACCCTGTAGAAAAGAAGTGCTTTTTTGCATCTTAATAAATTAGCCATGGTTCACACAGTAAACAGAGCAGATCAATTTACGTAATGTGATTGCTTTTCTATTAGCATTCATAAACTACACACTTGCCAAAGTGTATATGATGACACCCACTGGCTCTGTTTGAAGAAACCATAAGCTCCACCATGTTTGAGGAAATTATGAGCATATGGTTTCCTCAAATAGGCCAATAACTCATATGTGAGGCGATGGTAGGCGCTTAGTACCTTTATAATTTCTCCATTTAGTCCACAGCAACTGCACTCATATTAAGTAGTAGTCTATAAGAAGCTATGCCTCACATTTGTGGCACATGATCTCAGGTTCTGACTTGTTGTTCAAATAATATTACAATTATTATATAATATTAAAATTGTTAAAATTTTATTAAAATCATATTTTTGATTAAAACAAACCTGAATTCTCATACTGGAATTAGTTTTCGTTATTACTGTATAAGAATATAGTCTGTGAGAGACAATGCCCTTTTACAAGTAGGTACCAAGCATATTAAGTAAATACATATGATCTGTTTATTGCCTACAATAAATTTAAATAACTTTTTCCCATTTCTCAACATCAAATTTTGAAACACTCCTTGATGGTCTACTGGTTTTTCCTACAGGTACAAGTTGAAATGTAATATGGCACCCAATGTTTTCCATAAGTAGTTCCATAATGTAAATGGGTATCGCCCTATTACACTTCCATTTTTATTAAATTAGAATGTAAAAAATAAATAATAGTTTACAGTCGGTGCCTTTGCACTTACAAACTTTGGAGTCATTTCCAGAATTTTGGTAGTAGAAGTTTTGTTACAAATACATTTTTTTTTTTTTTTTTTTTTTTTTTTATAGTTTGCAGAATTTTGTCACAGTATATAATTAATCACATTACAGCTTTAGGATCAGGCTTATAAGAGATTACAGTCTTCATAGTTCGTCATTTGTAGTATATGTTTGCATATTCATTATTCATAATAATAAAATTTATGTATAATTTGTAATAGGAGTATTAATAAATAGTTAATCTGTGAGGTTATAAAAAATTATTGGAGATGTTGGGTAACTGAGCTGTATTTAATTAATTAGCAGAAAGTTTTTCTCCTCTGTATGAAAGGTATATCATGCTATTTTCTATTTTCTTTCTGAAATGCTTATTCTTGATTACAAAGCATTTGCATTTGAGGTAGGTAATTTAATATGATCTAGTTAAGGGACAGGCATTCATATAATGATTAGGGTCTTCCCTATCCCCACATACACACTGATCGGAAGTAGAGATGTTTATTTGTTGAAAGAATGTGGGGAATGGGCCATGTCCTGTGAGAAAGCAATTTATATAGTGGTTGACCATAGTGCATTGTTAGTTAAAATGAAGAACGATTTCATACAGTGTTCCACCTGCATCATTACTTTGCCATTTATTTTCCCAGATATTTGTTTTAATTTTCACAAGATGAAATTTTAGGTAGGATTTTAGCCAAGGATGCTGTATTATTGCATGTTATGGCTGATTTTGCAGCTGTATCAAGTTCTTTGTTCCCCGTGATTCCAACATGAGCTTTGATCCAAGAGATTCTTGGAGATAGGCAAAGATGTTGTGAGGTACTTTCTATAATTTGTTGAATCAATTCAGATTTATGCTTAGTATATTGGAGCACTAGAATTGCTACCTGACTATCTGTAAAGATGTTTATTTGCTGCAAGTTGTTAATCATTTAATAATCAATGGCTAATTGTATTGCTAAAAGTTCAGCTTGAAAAATGTTATTTTCTTTTGCACGACATGACTTTAGTGTAATTTTTTACTTTAGATTTGGTAAGATAATACAAGCACATCCAGCACCAGATTCCATTTTAGAGTCTTCTAAATATATATATAATATTATATAATATATATATATTTAGAAT